AGGCAACTTAGACAAGACCGAGATGTTGAGTCAAGCTCAAAAAGAATGGTGTGAAAACGAGCCTGGGGAGGAGGAAATAAATGAGACCAAGAGGGGAGATAGAGCCAGCCAGACAGACAGACGACACTAGAACCAAATAAAAATGTCCAGGATTTGTGATGCCTGAAATTGAGTTTCCTCGTTTGGTCCCAGGACCGGGAGTCTGGGAAGCGCCCGTGGCGGCTAGCTCGAGGGTTTTCCTTGGGGAAGCGGAGGGCAGCCACTCAAGACCAAGGGAAGGGTACGTACGTAGGTAGGTAGGTAGGTAGGTATGCAAGACGTACGTACGGCGCCTCTTTTTTTCTTTTCTGGCTTGATTTCAGGGTGCAAGGGAGATGAGAATCGACCGGGGAAAGATGGTGCTTTTTGTTTGGTTTCTGGCTGAATTAAGGCCAAGCACCGCCCCAAGAACTCGAATGCTAAAAAAGAGGATAGTGCTTAAATGCAATGGTGGTCAAGTTTTGGCGTTCTAGAACTGGCTTGAACCGAAAGCAAGATCTTCAAGGCTCGGGACCAGGCTGGATCGGGCTGGACTCGGCTGGACTAGAGCTTGGGGTGAATCGAATATGGCTGGGTGGTCCAGATAGGTACTGTTGCACCTATGTACTTAATTCGAGAATGACGGTAATGATGACGGCAATGAGAGTGATGTAAGTTAAAAAGGATTGTTGCTGTATGTTGGGGGTTGAGAGGTGTATTATACCCGCCGCTGTCTGATAGACCGACCAGTTTGCAAGGCAGCTTCTCGACAGTCGCAATTAAGACAGGGCACCAACGAGGCGACATATAACTCAATGATGACAGGGAGAGAACGTGGCTAAGACCTGCAAAATGAGAAAAGAGAGCGTACCAACAGGCATCCGCATGTAATACATAACAATGAGGACTCGGAGGGGGAAAGTCAAAAGCAAAACTTGGCCAGGGGTCTTTATATGAAAAATGTCAAGGTGGAGGGGGGCCTGATCCATCAATGAGAGTCGGAGTAAAGTAGCAATAGGGAGTCAGTGAAAAAAAAAGAAGGTTGATGGACCAATGTATCATCGGCAGACTTTGGCAGCCGGGTACAGGGATAAGCTTGTGAAGGGCAACACGACATATGAAAGCGACTGGACAGAATGAGAACCACGAGACATCTGGCGAAATTCAGATAGACTGAGTACGATATGGGGCATGAGATGAGGCGAAACCCCCGGGGCAATTCAGCGCCGCAAGGTCATTCATTACCAGAGCGTGGATTTTGACAGCCAGTTATCTTCCAGGGTTGGCAGCTGTCAATCGATGAGAATCAGGAACACCGACAGGAGAAGAATAGAACCAAAAGATTCGGCCAACGCGAGCCGAGTTGAGGATCTCTGGCTGGGGTCCGGTATGGAGAGGCTTGTTGGAGAGAGCCGGATAGAGAATATGGTTGGCTCATGAGTGAGTTAGCTGATTCCAGGCGACTTTCGCAAAACCTCCTGGTCCCTGAAAATGATTACATACTGCGCAGTTGAAGGTCAATAGCCAAATAGCCCGAGTTGAGCTTGAACCAGGCAGTGCTCAACTGCCATTGATGGGCTACGGATACAAGGGGTAGGGAGGGGACACGCGGATGGAGCGTCAGGTCCCGGTTAATGCTGGTGCAAGGGTACAGTGTCGTTTAGTGGTCCACTTTCTGTACCAGTTTCGCAACGTTCCTGAACGTCTCGGATCCAATGATCAACAGCGTTGATGTCAGTACAGCGAGGACGTCAACATCTCTGACATAGCTGGACTGAGGGTGCACGACACAGGAGTGAGGAGGCAAGAGACCGAGAGCTCAGGTGGAACACCTTGGACGAAGATGCCACCAACCCCCAGTTGTGGAAGCCAAGTTTCTTTTTGGTTTCGGTCGGTATCTTTTTCTCAAGCTTGACTCCAGTAGCTCGGGAGGGCTCCCAATGCCGTAGTTAAAGATGGCTACCCATTGGTCCCCTACAGTTGGAGCTAGGGGAGGGCTAAAGGTAGCGAAGACGACATAGCGGACGATTTGGGCCTTCGGCAGCCTTGGATTGCAGCTGTAGCGGAGTGGAGGTGGGTCCTTGGGAGGATGACAGCAGAGCTGCAGACCTGCAGCTTAGCTTGGGGCGTGGATCGGAGACGTCTTAGGCCTCGGCCACAGGCCACAGGCCACAAGGGACGGGGGAGCAGCATATTTCGCCGCGGGAAGGGGAGGCTGAAGCCTGAAGGGTCATTGGCAACGCGCTATGCGAAATACCCGCTTCTAACAACCGAGTGAACCTTGGAGCCGGGTCGACCAACAGTTGAATCGACGAGCGGCCGCTTGAGAAAGTGACCCGGCATCTCAACTTGAGTATCTCCAGACCGGACAAAGCCACATCACCAACGTCAGAGTCTTCTTGAGTGAGGATTCGCTAATTTGTTGTGAGCTATCCGTAGGCCAACGGGAGAGGCTGGCTGCTGGGCCCAGTGTCCAATATGATCCTTGCTTTGGCTACCTAGGCTTGGCTTGGCTTACCTTAGGGTCGGGCTTGCTTGACTGCCGGGGCCACCAAGTAATTAGAGGATTGACTGATGTCACCATCAGAAGTGGTTCCGGGCGACGCAAATCATGATTTGCGTGCGATGTGCTGCGCTCCAATGCAGGATGCAGATGGTGATGATAATACGAGTGTTCAGGGTAAATTGAAGTCGACCGGCCGCTAATTTTAGGCTGAGGCCTGACTGTCAGTACCTCCTGCCACGTGCCTTAGGTTGCCCGGAATAACGGACTTTCCCTCTATTCCCACTGTTACTTCCATCTCGCCTGTCTCCATCTTGTAACTTATTATCCACCATTACATGCCCACCACGTCACGGCAGTAGAGAGTGCATTTACGAATGTGTGTCGCCTCGTTCTCCCCTACATAAGTACACACTCATTCCAGATCATCCTACAGATCACAAAGGTACAAAGTGATTCCCGAGTCCAGGCCTGGGTCGGAACAAAGGAGATAGCCTATCTATTCGAAGGCCTAAAAAGAAAAGTCAATGAGTCAGTAATGACTATTGACAGACGGTGTGTGCATCCTCGCCGGAATTCTTTTTCCTGCCCTTGCGTTGATGTGAAATCTCTTTACCACTTGCATCTGTGTCGATGCCCGGATGCACGGTCAGATTCACATAAACAGATCTGAGGCATCCATACATACATACATACCCAAGATTACAGAGTAGATCGGTGGTCGAGCCGGGAACATCCCTGAAAGAAACGCTCTGTACCTGCACCGGCTACGGCATCCATAATGAGCTGTTCTGCAGGTTGAACCTGCATATATAGTAACTCAAGTCCAAGGTGTCCTTGTATACAGTCACTTGGCATGGTCGTATGTACTTGTTCATGTTTCAACAAGATAGGTACATATCAGGCTGAGATGTGAACCATTGTTCCCTCTCTTCCCCTTGAGACATCCATCACCACCATCGATGGGGGATGTGAGTGGTATCAAGACAGCCCCATCTGGGCCCTGCGGATCTAGGATCGAATCGAGTGGCGTTACAAACAAGCCACTTTCGGAGCTTTCAGCCCTGTTTAGTTTTTACGCAACGACACGTCAAATATCAGTTGATGGCGCAGCGCAGGGTGAGTGAGATCCTCTGAGACTCGGTATGTGTGAGAAAAGAAGGGTTTAGGTGAAACTGATGTCTCATTCCTCTGCGATGCATTGTTTGCTCCTCTTCTTGTCTCCATTTGTATACATGCACTCTTGAGTTGAAGGGAAGAGAGACAACCTCAACTTCGCCTAACGTTCACGGAGACGTCGGGTCAGGTCTGGATCTAGAGACGTAACTACTGTACATCGGCCAACTGGACCCAACACAGCGGTAGAGGGCGGGATAATAGACGTTTCTGGCGCTCGACCAGAATTATAACCCTCTTCGGTGCTCTTCTTTCAAGATCTAGTCCGGATCCAACGGTGGGCTTGTTAAGGCTGAGCCTGATCAAGTGACAAAGGCAGCCAACAAGGGAAGAGGCCTTGGCCGGGATTCTCTTTTAATTGCCGATCACTTAGAGTTTTGCTCAAATCGGGTCACTTCCCCTCCTCCCCGTTGTAATCTTGGATCTGGCTCCCGTTCCCACTCCCGCTTCTGGCGGCGGAATCACTCCCAGCCAGTAGACGCTCCACCAACACTCATCATGTGCCAACATCAGTAATCGACCAGACGCCGCAAAAGGCTATCTGGACTCATCTTGATGTAATTTTATTGATTCATCTCGTCTATCAGCTCGCCACCTTGTTCTTGGCTGGATCACTCCCCCCTGGAATGTGCAATTGAGTGGGTGTGAGGCCTGGAGCCTGGGCATCCTTTCTTGGTGCTAACGATGCAAGGCTAAATGTTGACGCCTCTAAACGTCCTTTAGCAAATGCTATGCAATGATAGACAATGGGAGAAGGCTCAAAATATGCCTGTGATTCATACTGTCTCAGAAGACTTGATCTTGTCCTGCGATAGACCAACGCTCATGTGCTAAGCTCGAAGTCTGTTCCATACAGGGTAGCTAGGTTGTTTTCTCCACTTTTGAACAGCAAAATACTCTTCAGTCTTCAAACATGTTACGGCTGCCGAAGGGAGTAGAAAGCTTATAGATGGGTATAAATTGAATTCTCAGACGTGGTCTGAGACTAGGAAACGACGGCTTTCCTTTACTCAGTGATGTGCCGTAAGGCAGCTGGCTTCTATCCAGTACGTAGGCGGACAGACACATGATGAACGAGTCATCACACACGTCAAATAAAACACAGATCTGATGAAAAAGAGCCCAATTGTATTTTGAGTAGCTATCGCTTCACCTTCAAGCAAATCGTCTTATCAAGAAAAGAAAGACCCATGTCCAACGCCATGCCATTGCTGCATCCACAGCCCGAATATCCCTTAATAAGTATTAACAAAAGAAAAGTAAGTAAACTGTGAGCGACAGTTGCATATCCAGCTGATCCAGCCTAATCATCGTTGTTGTTGTTGTTGTTGTTGTTCTTCCACTGCACCTTCACAACACCCATCAGAATTCCCATGATCAACGCAACGAAGAAGATCATCACCGCACAAAGCGCCAAAGCGAGGATCTGCAGTTTTCTCTTCCGTCGAGCTCTCGCCGTAGCTACAGGTCCCATCTTGTAAGGCGCATTCAAACTAGAGCCAGCACTGCTGCCTTGCGGGTATGGCCAAGGCGTCGCAGGCGGATACTGAGGAGGAGGCGGGGAGATTGGCGATGGTGGTGCGAGTGGAGAGTATATCGCTGGCGGACGGGACGGATCGTATGGAGGAGGTGGACTTGAGGGTATAGCGGGGGACCACGGTGATGATGTTGGACTGGAGTATGCGGGGATACTGGCGCCGAAGTGTGTTGGCGGTGTTGAAGATGGCGATGCGCCGGGAGTGACCATGGTTGGAGGAGAGTGATCGCCGGGTCGATAAGGAGAGTCGTTGGGATAAGCGGCGTCAGGAATCGAGTCTGATGGATGACTTCCATGTCGAGTGCTTGGAGCGTCCATGGTTGAGCTTGATTATGATTTTGTGAGATGTGTCGTGATGTGATATGATGTGTGATGTGATAAGGTGACTTGAGGTGAGGTTGAGAATTATATCGTGATGCCGAATAAATGTCGCAGTCGCGCAAACAAACAACGAGCTCCTTCAGATCCGTCAACGTTTCACCAACACCCCGTCCAACTTCACAGATGAACTCTTTTCGTTTGTCGTCGCGAACAAAACAAGTCTGTCAAACGTGTCGCGCATCCATAATATCCCGCCCAAGTGTTGGTTTCGTATAAACTTGCCCTGTTTCGACCCCGATGCTCCGACTCTGGAAATCGACACCCTGGATAAGTATCCTCTATTTTGCTTGTTTTTCGGCAAAATGCATTGAAAGTGCGAGGATATTGGTTGGATAAACAGACCACTCTCGCTTTGTTGCTAGCGACACCTGGCGAGATACAAACGCGGTGTTTTGTTGTTTGCTATCTGTAAAACGAACCGTAACACAAATTATTAAAAAGACAACGGAATGAGCACAACAGAAAACAAACAATAGTAAGATTGAGGCAAGAATGGCGTGAGAAAGAGTGAGAGAAAGGGAAAACAAACGGTAAGATAAGAAGCACTGCCCCCTTCTCACGGGCACGGGAGCTATAACAAGGATTGGCACAAACGAGAGAGCCCTTCAACTGCGGGGGACTTTCCTATTCCTTAACTTCGGGGACCACTCTGTGGGAAATAAGACGAATTAATGGTGTCCTGCACTGCCCCCCATGGCGCCGAGCCCATGACAGGGGGATGGGATGTGATGTGAGGACCTGGTAGTTATCCGTATCTTGGATAAAAAAGATAAGAGATGATCGACTGCAAAGCCTTGCCTTTAAAGAATCTCATCATCAGGGAGTAAAAGCCATATCCCTTGCGGAACTTATTAGGCCTCTTTCGTGGCCATCAAAGATCTGACAAGTCGGTCTGGATGGCTTCAGAATACGAATATAACTTCACTTTACGAGGCCTCTAACCTCAGAAGAGGCACCGTAAACTAGCGCCTTTATCCGTAGTTGCCGATCTGAAACCGGCTCGACCCTTGCAAAATCTCCATCAAGCAAATTCCTCCATGTTACTCCGTAGGATCACCAGGATCGCCCTCAATCCTCGATTAGACTCATAACCTGTTGATCAGTCCAAATGGTTCAATCCATGGTCACAACTTTCAAGACCGACAATGCGATGACAATACTATATTTCATTTTTGCTCAGAGCTGTTACAAATTACACTAATATCGCTATTCTACAAACCAAATCAACCGTCGCTATTATCCTCCCTCCCTTCACTCCATAACTCCTATTATATCCATATACCCTAGTATGGAGGTTTTGTCACATTACCCAAACTTCCTTCGCTCGGCCGACTGTCAATTCCTCGAAGGAGATCCTGCAGATCCATGGTCTTGGTGTTCTGAGATCGCACCGACTTGGGCCGAGTTCCATCCCCTCCTCTGCTCGTCAGACTGCGCCGTGCCGATTTATCCTGGAACGATGTCTCAATCGACTGGATGGGACTCCTCTTACCCCCGAGCAAGTTGACGTCTGGTAGCGGTGGCACAGGAGGAACTGACTCGTCCTCCTCGTCGTTATCGTCATGTAGATTTGGCGCCGCTCCAAGAGGAGGATGAGCGCTCAGAGGTCCTCGCTTGGAAGCCGTGCCAGGGCGCTTGGCGCTCGTTGGGCTACTTGGCTGGTCGTTCTGCGTAGCAGGGTTAAAGCTCATCTCTGAAGGACTGTAATCGTAGCTAACCATGCTATCTCCGCTGTCATCGTCCCCTATGATGGCTGTTTTAGGCGGAGGGTTGCCTGATAGCACGAGCTTCAGCTGATCCACCGACGCAACGGTACCTCGGTTGCCTGCTGAATGGGCGGGGGAGGCAGAACTCCGTAAGCTGCTCTTGCGGTGCTTGGGAATTGTTCCTTCGCGATCTTTCTCGCGATGGCCATGCGACGAGTGAGGCCTCATTAGATTGTACTGGCTTCCATAGGGTGACGCCGGTCCATTCCCGTTAGCGAATCCATTTCCGTTCGTCTTCACCGTGAGGTGGCCTCGGTGCGTGCCAGAGGTTTCTGTCTTGGATCCTGACAAAGATTCCGACTTTCCAGCAGCGGCAAGCATGGCGCCCGCAGCTTCTCTGGTCCAGTCTGCCTGCATCTGCTCGCGGAATACAGCTGGCAGCTCCGAATCGGGCTGATCCTGTCCAGTTAGAGTCGAGCCAAGGATTGGCCCTGAAAGAACCCTGCCTGGGGACGGACCCGGGCTGCCAGGAGGTGCTTGAAGGCTATCGTGGTAGTGCGACACAATGTACTCTACAAGCGCCTCTCTGTCGTCGAAGGGAAGTAGTTCTTCTCTTTCAAGCGAAGCAGAGTCCCAATCTGGCTGTGGGCGCGCCTCACCTGGAAGTCCAACCATATCAACTTCTGGAGGTGGCTGGGTAATGCCCTGCACCCAGAAGCCCTTTCTTCTGCGGCGCGCCACCTCTTGCTCAATCGCTATACCAATGTCAGAGTCCTTGAAGTCGAACTTCTCAGTGAGTGCCCAAAAGTACCCATGACAGAGGGCTGCAGTCCGGACCTTGTACAAGGGTGTGTCAATCTCTTGTATATCCTCCTGTAGTCGGTAAATCATTGGTAGTCCATATCGGGCGGCATTAACGCCCAACTGCAAGACCAATCTCGTAAGAAGGATATGGAGCATAACAAGATCATTCTCATACTCGACGTACTGGATGGCGTTGTCGTAGATGACCAGATGCAGCAACGCCAGAAATTGCGAGTGTCGTGGCTTAGATCCTCGCTCTCGATGGGAGGCGTTTGAAACGGCTCTACGGGTCTCCTTGTTGATCTTGAGAGACGAGCGGGAACGAGGAAGCTTTTCCTCAACAGCGATCTCATTTGCGAATGAAGTCTCTCGGTCAAGCCATGTAATGAGAGCGTCCATGTATGCCTTACGAACGTGACCATCGGGATCACGCAGGAGCCAGTGAGTTCCCTCCCAAACATAAATTGGCACAGGGTTGCGGGATAACCCCATGTTGCCGGTGAGCTTCTTCTGAGGGTTTGCGACCAAGAGAATCTCCTTGATAGCTCGGAGGCCAGATGTTCTGCCCGTGTTGAGGGAGAAATAATGGTCAAGCTGCTGGCTGTCGCTCAACTCGATGGTTGAGGCACCCGGTCCAGCTTCATTGTTTCCGTTCTTTTCACCGCCAGGGGAGGAGTTGACACTCGCAGATCGAGACGGTTTGAGACGTAAGATAATAGCAGAAATCATATCTGAGATCTGATCTGCGTAGTACACGTGGGTCGCCAAGTCGCCAATGCACAGTTCAAGTCTGCCCACAAGATGCTTAGTCTTCTGGCGCACGACTGATTCAGACTCCACGACAGAGGGGCTGCCGTCGTCGCTCTGGCTGGTCGGTGTTCGCATCTTAAAAAGCTTCCTCATCTGCTTGATCAGACCAAGGAGAACATCCATCATACTCAATCCAATGAGGTTGACGTCAGACCGTAGGAGAGAGCTCATGATTGTTACCAATGCGAGTTGTTCGTCCAGTGTAGAGTCCTGCACGGGAATCCGTAGCAGGGTTTCGAGAGCGGCAACAAGAATTGTGTATCTGTCTTGCACGGGAGCCCAGCGCGAGACAATGCCATATATACTGATAGCCCAACCGCTGTCTCGTTCTCGGTCATCATGAAGTTCCACCACGGCGTTGCCTTGTGCAACCTTTTCTTGAATAAATCTTAGGAGAGAGACGGTTGCGCCGTGGATCTGGGAACGGGCAGGGACGATAAAGATGCTCTTCAAACATTGGAGGGCCAATACGCCGACCTCTTCTTCTGCAAGCTTATCAACATCCCCGGCGGTTCCGGAGAGAGCAACAGGATTCGGGTCGTTTGCTCCGTCAGTCCCAACTGTCGCAATACTAGTTCTCCGTCTAAGCTGCTTTTCGGTGTCGACCTTTTCCTCCGTCTCGAGCCGTTGATGTAGCGTTTCGAGGAAGTCGGGGGTTTCGGACCACAAGTTCTCGAGAATTCGAGGCATGATGACATCCATTTGACTGCCCGTTATGGAAGAGAGCGCGTCTGCCGTAGAGATGCTACGAATAGCTTCGAGGCCCGCATTCCTCCATCGAACTTTAACTGGGGTGGTGAGAGATTCCTTGCCTGGCGTAGGCTGTGTCGAAGCAAGTCGAACGTACAATCGAACAATTTCCTCGTATTGCCGAAGGTACGTCTGATCAGCCATGAGGAATGCGGCGTCATGATAATCGCAAAAGGCCGCAAATGTTGGAAGGGAGGACTCGATCATGGTGATGTCGTCGGAGCGGAGGACGGTGTCGAGGATTTTGAGTACGAACGGAGCAATGAGGACCGAGTCCTTGTGAAGCTTTTCCATCAAGGCTGACAGAATTTGGAGAGTGACTTGAACGTTCCTGCCAAGAGCCACATTAGCAATCATGGATTCCAACTGATCACGACAAGTCCCAATCGCAAGATGGCATTGCGAGAGGGGACTCGACGAGGGCGGATCTGAAACATCGGCGTTTTGGAAGTCAATGATATGCGACGTACCCAATACGCAGACGCCAGACGTCGCTAGCTGTCTTCTTCTCCAAAAAAGCGCCAATCTTTTGGATCTTGGAGCGACGACTCGTAGCATAGTAGAGAAGGTAGCTAAGCTCGCTGCTATTCGGCTTCACATCCACAGCGCCTTTCGTAGTCCGCGGATAGCATTTTAGGACGAGGACCTGGTGTTTCGGCCGGCATTTCTGCTGAATTGCATTCATCGCGCTCGCGTTTCTGCTGAGCTCAGCCCAGCCCCGTCAGGTCGAAGGGGATATTCGGTGAAGTCGGGGGACCGAGGACGAGAGGTGTAGGAGTTGGTTTGAAGCAATGAGACAAGCAGAACGATATCGAGAGACCAAAAGCGACGTAGCCGAAGGAAGTCGCCGTGAGTTGACAACCTTTGGGTGAGGTGGTAAGTCGGGGAAGGGAAAGGTCAAGTTTTAGGTGGAAGGGAAGGGGACCAGCCAGCCCAGACCTCGATTCGGGACGGGAGTTACGGGGGTCCAAGGTACAAGTTAGGTACCCCACTTGCAGCCGAACTAAAAATCTCAGCCCATCCCAGGGCAGTGGAATTCCAGGTTCCCTTTGGGCAGAAAGCGGGAAAAGGAGAAGAAAATCAGCAGCAGGGATTATAAATAGGAACAGGGGGAAATTAGTTGTTCATCGTAATCTGTAACTGAATACGGAGTAGCTGATGCTTTGTTTACCTCAATTGCATGAATATTCGTATCAAAGACCAGACTTTGATACTGCCCTGATCTCTTGGTGATATACATGCCTGCTTCTTCAAAACCAAGTACATACACGCTGTCCTCCACGTCTGTGCTGTGCCTCTTTGGTTAGGCTGTCCAGGGGTTTCTGTTTGGTATCGGGTTCAGCGGATGGCTTCTGACTCCGAATTTTGTCTTAGTTTGCGAGCCAAGTATCGTCAAAGTACCTCACTAGTAGAGCCTAGGCCACGGTTCCCCTGTCGGATACTGCCTGGGCTGACAAGATAGAGCCCACGGAAACTTTCATGCATGTCTTGGTTATTGGCATTGTCTTATTATGCGTGCGTTGTCTTGAGTTAATCTCCAGTTCCAGCTCAATCAATGTGTCTTGTTTACAAACTCACTGAGAATGGGTGGTTTCACTGCAAGGAAAGTTCTAGGAATATCCTCAGTGCGAATAATTTGCTGGGCCAGTGACAGCTGTGACGCAATTGTCGCCATCACACCCACCATCATGATAAGATCGACATCATCGTCACCACCATTCTTCACCGGAGTGCAACGACAGCACAACCAAACCCCAACTCGGGTCGTCCCAAAACGCTTCTCGTCCAACATGCCTTTAATATCAGAACGTTGTAAATTACTGAGCCTCTGCAGTGGCGTGGCTTATTCTGACACTCAGAAGGATTCATTGACGTATTTGTGAGTGCATCAGCCCAAACCTCTACATCATGCGCTCATTTGTTCACCGTCATTCATCAACCCAGCAAACATCGTGAATGGATGTTTCATCCAATTCCCAACAGCAACCGAATGCAAGAGTGTTTCTGAGACCCTGCTAATAAGGTATCACCGCTTCCAACAGAAAGGTACAGGGTGAGTACTTTGCTGTCAAGATGCTCCTCTGACCAGCCACGTCTCGAAACGTCATAGCAACTATTGCCCGTTTCCCATTCTGGAAGATCTACAGTATCAAACGCTGTAGCTAAGATCGTCAACATGTTGATCATTTGCATCTGACTACTCTTAGGGGAGGAAAGAAAATACAGGCCACAGGCCCTTAACCCTAAGCAATAAAAATATTTAGGTAAATCTAGCCTAAACTTAGGGGGTTCTTTGCTTAGTTTATTTTGATACCCTATATCTAGGTCTGGTATTTTCTTGCTTCCCAAGGCTACTTTAGCTGTTCTCTTGATCTTGACACGATATTCGCGCAAGGAAGCGCATAATGCTATGGTCAGCTAAGTCCACTTGCTCGCATTATTCATGCAAGTCTCGTACAGTCAGTCCTTTTCCTCACCGCATTCTTTTCTTTGCTCACCTCCTATGCCACGTTGTCTCTCTTAACTACCCCAATATCTTCACGTTGCTTGACCTGCATCGTCTCCCGATTTCCATCTAAACCCGCGGTTTTATCTGTCCATCTCGGCCGATTCCGCTCAAGTGGTTGACTCCACACTAGACGTGTTGGCCATCAACTGCATGACACTTTTCGGGACCGGATGATCCGCATTCAAGACTGGTTGGACTTGGACAATAATGTCCCATGCCTTTGAAGGATCCCCGGCAATTGATTCCCGTCAGCCTTGCATCGTGGCAATTGAACGCCTTTCTGTCGTGCCCGGTGCAGCCGGTCGCAGAGGCCTTGTGACTTGCGGGCGTGACAGCGACCGTTCTTGTGACACAGAAAAGACGGAACTCAACATTTTCTGTTCCTTGCAGCATTTGAATATATTACACGCGTAAGAAATTGACAATGAGCAATGCGATGCTTGTTTGTAAAGATTTGTTGGGGAACCAAATGCCCCTACGTGGTGGCTCAGTTTTCCTTGCTATCCAAGCTATCGAGAACATTATCAACGACAGTCTGGATGTCGTAGTCATACATCCAATTCGATTTCTTGCCCTTTGTTCTTCTAACCTTTGCCTCAATTTCATCGTCTATGGACAAGCCTTCTGCTGCAATCTCCCTGCCAATACCTGCATACCAGTCCAGGACATTATATAGATCATGGTAATGCGGCGACCTGATGCGGTCGTACAGCTCCAGTGCAGCCTTGATACCTCTACTTCGAGTCCAAGCCCACTCAAGGGTTTTGGCCAGTGTATAAACATCCTCGAGGGCGAATCCCGCTCCCGCTCCAAATGCTCCCGACAAAGGATGCGAAGCGTCTCCGATCAGGGCTATCGAATCAAGAGCAACTACTCGATCCAGTCGCGGCCCAGAGAACAGAGCAAATTCTTGAGTCTCCCCCTTTGCTGCGAGTCGAACAACTTGGCGAACGGGCTCACAGAACCCATCGTATTCGTGGACAAGTGTGCTGAAGTCAAAGGGTCGGCCCCAACTGACTCGATCTTGGCCTTCCGAAGGCCGGGAGAGACGTGCCGTGACTTCGAAGTCGTCGTCTCCAAGTGGACTCGTAAATACGTATCTACCACCTAGATTCTGCCAGAATGTTGATGCTTGGGGGATTGTGCCAAGAGCCTTAACTTCAGCCTTGCTGATGATGGTGCGATACGCGGATTGTCCGTTGTATTTGATTTTGTGCGAAGGAAAAGTAAATGACCGCACGACCTAGATGGTGTCAGATTTTTGATCTTGGTACCTTAATTGCTTTACTTACCGATCTTATGCCATCTGCAGCAATCAAGAGATCAACCTCATCCGTAAAGCCATCCTCAAATCGGATGATTACTCTGCCACTTGACAGTTTTTCAATGCCCACGAGCTTCTTGGAGAGCTTGATTTTGGACCCATCGACCTCTTTGAGAAGAGCTGCTTGTAGCTTTGCTCTCCTCTGACGGCCACTGCGCCGGTGAATGGGTGTAGCTTCGGGATGATAGCTTTGCTCAATGAGCTCCCCCGTTCGCCCGTTGCTGATACAGTCAGCTTTGAAGTCCCCCAACCACTTACAAAACGACTCACCGCTGTTGTCCACTGATGCCATCAGGAGACCTGAATAGGTCACTGGGCTTGATGTTCTTGGATGACCCGTTCCATTCAAGCATCTTCCATGTATGTAGTTGAAGACTGATACCGCCGCCTGTCTCACTGATCTCGGGCTTCTTCTCATACAGAGTCCAATCAACGAAGGATAACTTGGCGAGGGCAATCGCGGCACCTAAGCCACCTGGACCTCCACCAATAATAGCAGCTCTGATATTGATATTGCCATTTGTGGTGTTTTTAACAGTCATGGTGGCGAGTGGACATGTATAGAGGAGCAATGAGTTTAAGTTAAGGACCAAGACGACTTAATTAACGATTGAAAAGAGACAAATATCTACTTGCATTTTATAAGAGAAGATAAGAAAATACCATGGTAGTATTCTAGTAAGTACTGATAGTGATGAGGCCATTTCAGGTGTATGGCGCAATCAGTTGGTCAAATTGGCAATTGATTAAACCCGCAATCGGAGGATTCTACGCCTTCCATCAGTGGTACACTTCAGTAAACAACTGGATCTGCTGAATAATAGTAGATGGCTCAAGCGGTGATTTCTAACGTATCTTACGACTTCAGTAGTGGCGCCGATGTGGGATGCGAACAGCTGCGGGATGAGACGCTTCATCAAACATGTATGTATTGTGGCATTGAAAGGACTTTGCTTTTACGACTGAGAATCTGAATCATCTCCCAATGCTTCTTGCAGAAGTTGGTTCGCTGTGTCCGGATCCCAATCCACCGGAACTCCCTCTTCTGCGTCATTCATCTTTCTTTCCACGACCATTTCCATTGACCTTTGTGCCTCTTCCCCTAGAAGATGTACCCTTGCCGTCCAAAACTGAGATTCTTGTATATTCTCATCTCTTGGCCCAAAGAATCTCTCATCCAAGTACTTCCAGAATATTGTATCGAATGCCCAACTCTTTCTCGTAGCGTAGGTAAGCCAGAAGCGACCACTCAACCAGCTCTCACGCATATAACCTGAAAGGTTTTCCGGGAAGTTGATTCCCTCTCCCCGTTCCTCATCTTGAATTGCCAGTAGCCAGGTCCTGAGTCTGGTTTCGTAGACTTGGGACCAATCATCGATTCCAGACGGCCACAGCTCTGGAAGCTGCAGCAACAGCCACCATGGCGGATCGAGGCTGAATTGCGTAGGAGCGAAATATGCGAACTCCCAGTCAAGAGCTGCCACGATATGGTCGTGCTCGTTCAAAAGAATATTATGCGGCCTCAGATTGTCGCACCAAAGTCGAAAAGAGTCAAGTCCATATGGCATTGGGCATGATAATTCCAAAAACTGAGACTGGACTGACCAATTGTCCTCAAGAAATCCAAAAGCAGATAGCTGACCCTTCTTTGCGAGTAAATGAAACAAGTATCGTGCCACATACTTGTTTCGGTACTCGTCCTCTGAGCCAACAATATCGTCATGCTGGAAAAGCAACTGAGCCATGTGCATAGCTGCCGAAGCGGCGTACCATTCATCGGCACTTGTATACACCTGTTTCGGTGACGGAAGAACTGATTCTGGAACAGAAGCCTTGCATACTAGGTCGTTCATATTTTGGGTGAGCGGTCGGCGAGCCACTGAATGCTTGGTGCCAACTTCGACCAGTGACCCGATCTTATGCCGGGTTGGCTCGAAGAGCTTGATCAGAAGCCCAGCCGTCTTCCTGTAAAGTGTTCTCAGATCCTCTTCAGATATCTCTGGGTCCAGGACCGGTATTTCCCCCAGATCCTGGCCAGGGCTCGTGAGGGCTTCTGACATGCTCCGCTCACTTTTGACGAATAATAAGATCATAGCCGGCCCGATATATGATGACGGAGTGTGAAAGAAGAGGTCCGGAACATGTACAGAACTGTTCTGGGAGAGGTAAGATATGGTTGCAGCTTCATAGAGAGCCTTTTCTTTCCGGAAATGTGCCATCTCGGGGCGTGGTTGCCGAACAACAATATCGTAGGCATCCCCATCGCAGTGAAACCGATAGATAATATTGCATCTGCCTAGGATGACTGGAGGGACCAAGCTTGCAGTCTGCTCGCAAACACCCTCGACGAAAGACATAACCTTATGACAGGTCCTTTGGATATAAAGCCGCCGTTCTGATTTCTGCCAGGCTTCTTCATCCAATGCGCTTGCACGACGGTCAAAACTTTGCTGGGCTTTGGTATACGCAATGGAGAAAGCGGTAGAATTAGACATTGCGCAGGTTATCCAAGAGCTTGCAAGTGAGAGACAACATGCAACATTTGGGGGCTGCAGATACAACTGAGTCCCATAACTATGCCTGAGGCAGAAGAAAATGATGTGACACAGACTCACACAGTTGACGACCTGAAGAGATTTGCCTCTGTCTTGTGTCTTATGTACTTAGTTGGGCCAGTGTGTGTATTGTTTGCCGTTGTACTTTTGAAAAGAACTCTCAAAAACAAAGGAAGGGCACTCTGGTGGGTTAAACTGCCGATAAGCCTCCCATCCTCTTCTACATGTGATGATGTAAACCGCCGGGGCAAGCCTGTTGGCTGCTTTCTGAGTCGTTTCAAGTCGTGCTTACACGATAAGAAGCCAAGGATGTTCTCGTGAGGTACCTTTCAGACCTTCATTCCCACTGTGTTAATACATTGAGGCCCGAGAATCACTCACCCTGAACATCAAAGGCGCGGTTTTGGTGTGAAGCACGAATGTATCCTCGCTAAAGGGGGATTGCCTATTCAGTCGTGAATGCGGTAGCACATCCCCCTCATATAGCTACTCGCAGCAACATGATCATTCGACAATGATGGGCAGCTACATGAAGTATGCAGCTCGGAGCAAGATAAGTCCTATGGCAAACAGGCGCTGAGGTTCGTGCTTCTAACCGAGGCCAGCCACCTCGCCCGATAACCAGGTTCCAGACCGGAAGGGTTGCAGCTTATACCCCTAGCGATTTACTTGCCACCCGTAGGTTCCGTTTCCGTTTCCGTTCCGTGGGCGGGACATGTTTATCGGCAGAGCAGATCATGATATCTTGAAGAACAAACGGCTTGTTGCTTCCATTGTGGGGTGTCGTATCTGTAGAGAAACGTTTTTGGAAATAGGTATGCGAAAACGAGGAGGCATGGATGGATGGATTGTTGTGCGGTGCGTGCGTGCATGCGTGGAAATTGGGGAGGGGAAGTTTGTGAGACGTTGCGTGAGAAGTGCAATTTCACAGTGAGGGAGGATTGGCAGAGATCAGCCTTGTTTGGAAATGATAACGAGAACCGACATATATTGATGCGGCGTGGCAATACAACCTTGGAGGTGATCAATAAAACCCGCACCAATGGTCATTTTGCCAATAAGCCTATCAATTATTGACACAAATGTCACGTCCAACGTCCCTGTGATGCAACAACATTCGGACTTTTTGTGAAATATCTGCATGTATCATTTGTGAGAAGAGAAAACAAAAGTGATTGTGTAACAGCGCAATCAAAATGGGCAAATCACACCGCCTCACTTTCAATCTCCGTCCGTGTCTGCGTCTGCGTCTGCAACGTCTGCCTCGTCTAGGCAGGAATCTCGATGCCGCTCGCACTGATCAGCTTGCGAACCAGCTGACATGGAGTTATATATCGGGGGGCCGGGTCCAACAGTTCCCTCCCCCTCATGCACTGACTTGATCTGGACATCTTTCGATTCTCTCTCTCTCTCTCTCTCTCTCTCTCTCGCTCTCTCCGTCAAGAAACCTCTCTACCACGCACGCACGCACGCAACGCAACACAACTGCACACTCCCAAATCACCACCACATCAACCCAGTCATCACTGCAATATTCAACATGTGCACCCAGACAGAAAATGTGGAAGAGTGCAGTCGATGTGGCTACACAACTGCCGTTCTAGACCCAATTGAGAGCTGCGGTTTGAGACTCCCAGGATCGTACCGCGACCCAAAGGCCAACTGCTACGTCGGGACATGCTTTGGAGTGTCCTTCACTTCGTATGTCGACGCTGTTATTTGCCAGACCTGCATTGCAAAGGAGGAGCGGGACAACATCAGACGGAACAACAAGAAAGCCGTTCATGTCTTTGAGAAGTGATGGACTTGTACGTACGTACGTACGTATGTGATTGAGTGAGCGAACAGATTTTTGTATTGGGATTGGAGCATGACATGACACGTCGACGGCATCATTGTAATACGTAACTAGGTATGGACTTGCTGGCCACTGGGATAGGATAGTGGAGGACTGCATTAGTTAGCATCTTGAAATTGAGTATGTAGCACTTGAAGAAATACGCAAATGAAAGCGCTTTGAAGCGAACGACGCAGACCATTGAAACGAAACACCGCAGGGAGACGAAGCCAATGCTCGACCTGTATAGAGGCATCCATGATGTCTGTCTCGTCTTGTCTGCCTTGTGACACAGCCTCATTCCAGCCATAAAACCTCTGAACCCCGCTTGGAAACAAACATATCAGAACCCTTGAAAACCGGCACATCCTCACCCTTGTCGAGAGCTATCAAAATGGAGTGGCATGACCCCAATTGCCGTAGAATGGACCCTGTTCCATTTGACAACGACCTCTGGACGTGCCAAGCCTGCGGAACAGTTGGTCCTCTCAGGTTCCTCGCTGACTCGCTTGGCGAATGTGCAACCCCAGAGCCTGAGCCTGCGAGTAACCAAGACACGCACAAAGAGTCTATCAAGCGCTTGTCATGGCCAGAATGTGTCGAATACTCTCAAGAACCATTCAGTCAAGATATAGAAAAGACTCTGTGCCTCGTCAAAGCCAATTATCCAAAAGTGGCCACGGGAGTTACTTATCGCGTGGGACAAGTGAGCGATGCTTACGGGCGAGAGGTGAGCTCTGACACCTGTACCAAGTACTGAAATCTCACCGGTTAAACCAGATACTCCCTGTCATTTATCCCATGTTGACAGGGCGCTCTCATATCCGGCTTCTGGAGCTCTTACCGGCGCCTCGAGACAAGGCACTTGAAGGCCGATTCCAGGTAGTCGACATAGAGCAAATGCCAGCCTATGAAGCTTTATCGTATACATGGGCAGATGGCAACAATGATGCTTCCCTCTGTCAGCGTATTTTTATCGGCCTTGGAAACAGAGCTCTGCCCATCACGCGCAATTGTCATCAAGCACTGAGCCGTCTACGTCGCAAGACCGAGTCTTTGCTGATATGGGTGGATGCCATTTGTATCAATCAATCTGACCTTGGTGAAAGGTCTGACCAGGTCGCAATGATGGGCACTATATTCTCGCAGGCAACGGAAGTACACGGATACGTGGGTGAAGACCCTGATAATGTTGAAGGTGGAGAGTTTGGGGCAATAACCCTCCTCAAAGATGAGCGCCGGTCTTCCAAACTGGCCTCGAGCCAGTTTAAAGACAACGCCGAGGAGGCCCTTGGAAGATTCTTGACAAGACCGTTCTTTTCTCGCTTATGGGTGGTACAAGAGGTTCTACTCGCCCGATCCATCACCATTCACTGCGGCGATTCAACAACGCCAATTTCGAGGGATGTGTTTATTAAAGCAAAATTAAACAACGCCGAGGTCCCTTGGTGGCTGACGAAAATCGGCTGGATCGGAGCGCAATCAAAGGGTGATGTGCTGGAGCTCCTGTCTGCAACCGCGCTTTGCAAGATGAGCGATATGCGAGATAAGATATTCGGGCTACTTGGGTTGGCCGATGGCAATGAAGTCAATATACTGAAGGCAAACTACAAGCTGACGGTACGAGAAGTATACATTGGGACTGCCCTATACCTCATCCAGCAAAGAAGTTGCCACAACGTCATTGAACTTGCTGAGTCTATGACAAACCTCAGACTTCGTTCCAAGTACGGAATCCCTAGTTGGGTTCCCTTATGGGACTTACAAGAGACTGCCTACAACTCAGTCGACTTATCAGAGCGATTGGGCGAGATAGAGCTTGGATGGAAAATTCGTTTGAATCGGGACCCTATTCTCTCATCGATGACAGGGAGCACTCCCTCTCAGCAATTCAGAACTATCCCATTCTTGACCAAACATGACACAGCAGGAAACTTCAGCCCCACACAAAGCTTCAAAGCTGTAGATGGCGAGACAGGCTGCCTTATCACAGCCGGGTATGAGATTGCCGTCCTGTATTACGGCAGCTTCATCTCCGGGGATGAAAACAGCACAGTCGATGGCCAGTATCGAGAGACTAATTATCATATGCTCAGTGACTCCGTTTTCCTTGCCACCAGTGGCCCCATGTCAAAGTTCCGAGATAAACCAGAACGCATGCTGGGCTTGAGTGACATCCTTTCTTTGGTCAAGATCTCTGGCTGCAGAATGCCCTTCCTCGCTAACAAGCACGTACGGGATGGAGGCAGCGTTACATACGAACTCCTTTATCCATGTGCCTCAGCCATCATCTATCCGATAGGCAAGGACCATCTTTATAGCAACCATCCCGATTTTGACAGAATCTGTACCTTGGAAGTCATGTATCCACTTACGCTAGAGATTATCAAATTTCTTTATCACTGGAGGCGTATCATCAAGCTGAGAAGCCAATCGCCTGGTGCCAACCAATTGGATTCCTCTTCGCTGAAAGACGAAGAAATCCGCGTCTGGAACTTCTTTGTCAGACACTCAGTTCTCACTGGCGCCAAGGTATCGGGCTTTTCGGGAGAAAGACAAGAGTGGAGGCTTGAATTAGAAGCAAGTCCTGGCTGGAAGATGAACCGACAATCGGCACTAGTGGACAACTTACTGTCAGAGTTCGCGGAGCTCATGAACTTCTGGAACTCGGAAGCTTTTGATGCTGTTGAGAAACTGGTGAAAGACCTGGATATTGCAAAAAGCATTCGGGAGATACAGCACTGGCACAGAACTCTTGGTCGCTTTTCAGCTTCCTTTTGTGGCCGAGGATGGAAGGGCGACGCTGATGTCCAGCGGTCGTTAACAGGGGCCAAGCTTCGAACATTGAAGAAAGCGCACGAGTTCCTCTTCAACACTTTCAGTCAGCTATTTGCCACAGGCGCTAAGAAAGAGACAATGTTTTTGATGCCGATGGATTTTGGCGAGATATCTCAGTTATCAGAGGAATGGTTGGGAGGCTATCGAGACGAGGAAGAAGCGATTGCGAACATGGAGCAGAGGTGGATGAACTGTACGAGCTTGTTTTTAGTACTCGCCGAGTCTGCGGAACTTCGTGGAGAAGCTAGACGAGTATTAGAGGGAAGACGGGAGATGTCAAGAATGTTTGGCATTGGGAGGGAATCTGAAAGGATTGTGATTGAATAAGGCTTACGCTGGTCTAGCTATCTACTCTACAGGAGACTGGGCTTCGTACTGAATAACATGGATGATTGATGAGCTAGTAAAGATAGAAGAGATATTGAAAACGCTAGAGGGTCCTCATGGAAGATCACAAAAGAACAAGTAGATAAGAAAATAGGATGTGTTCGTGTCTCTGCCCCCAGGACTGGGTAGATTTCAGTCGAAACGTTAGTTACATTAACAGTGAATGAATGTAACGATACCGCTGACTTGTATCTGGGATGGTATTCGTTTGCTCCTGGATAGCGATAAGATACGGGAACTTTTGACGGACTTTGCTTGATCAGGTTAAGTGGATGGCTGCCTGCTGATCCTTCACACAACATTTTTCTCAAATACCTCACTCGTCTCATCCGAGTTGACTCAGTCCTAGCATCCTCAAACAATCATCACTTGAAAAAACACAGAAACAAACAACATCAACATGTCTCTCACCACTGAAAGCTCCGCTGTAGGTCTAGCCCCTCTCCCTCCTGCAGATACCCTTCTCAGCTTGCGAACAGGCAAAATCCGCCCGCTCGGCGGTGTAAACATCCGCACCGCCATTAACAAGCGAGCGCGGCAAGGAAAATGGGAAGTGACCCCGGTTGGACTCGTCGGCGATGAGCAGCAGTTCATTCATCATGGTGGCCCTGAAAAGGCTCTTCATCAATACTGTGCTGGCCACTACGATGTCTGGAACGCTGAGCTGCCTGGTCGAGAGGATCTCTTTAAAATCGGCGGTTTTGGAGAGAATCTATCTGCAATGAACATGTCTGAGACGAATGTCTGCATTGGAGACATATTCCGTGTGGGACCGGATGTGATCATTCAGGTTTCTGGGCCGAGACAGCCGTGCTACAAGCTCAATCATCGCTTTCAGCACAAGAAGATCTCGGCCATGACGCAGTCAAGTGGCCGAACAGGATGGTACTACCGTGTTCTCCAAACTGGATTCATCGAGCAAGGCGATGCGATAGAGCTCGTTGAACGCACTAATCCAACCTGGCCCCTCTCACGAGTTCAGAAGTACCTCTACCATGAAAAGGATAATATCAAAATCTTCCAGGAACTCGTATCACTTCCTGCCTTGTCGGAAGAGATGGTTGGGATATTTCAGGACCGCCTTGATCACGGTACCGAGGATATGAGTGGCCGTCTTGAAGGTGATCGAGTCCCTGTCGTCTGGAGACCTTACAAGCTGGTAAACAAAACGGAGCTGACTCCAAGGATCAAATCCTTTATCCTCGAAGCTCAGGAACAGAATGAGGACTCGGAGTTCGGTCAATTTCCATTTGTGCGAACCCAATTTGGTCCAGATGGGAACATCACTCGTGCTTACTCTGTCGTATCCGGAACCACGAGCCGTTTTGAGCTTGGTATCGCTCGGGATGATAATTCGAGAGGTGGATCCATCTATCTCCATGATAAGCTGAATGTTGGAGATATCATCAAAGTCGCTCCAGGGCACAACGCTACTGCAATGAAGAGCAAAGAGGGAGAGACCAATGTGTCCAAGCACATCTTCATCGTTGGTGGTATTGGAGTGACAGTCTTTCTTGGCGAGATCGAAAAGCTGTCTCGGGAGTCGGTCGAAGTTGAGGTTCATTATGCTGTGCGGAGCCGCAAGGATGCGGCCTACTTGAGTCGCCTGCCACTCGACAAGACCTCCATTTACGCAAAAGACCAAGGCCAACGACTTCTTCTCAGCCAAGTTATCCCTGAGCCGACAGATGATAAGGGTCGCAGACCTGTTGTTTACTGTTGCGGTCCGACATCCCTTATGAACGCCTGCCGTAACTTGACTACCGATCTTGGGTATCCGAAGGCTCACGTGCATTTTGAAGAGTTTGGCGATGCCATGACAGGGACGGGGGAGCCATTCGAGGTAGAAATCAAGTCAACTGGCCAAACGATCCAAGTTACTCGCGAGAAGTCCCTTCTTCAGGTTCTTGCTGATGCTGGGTTTGAGATCGAGTCGTCATGCCTGGTTGGAAACTGCGGCACATGCATGGTGGACTACTACAAGGGAGAGGTTGATCATAAGGGTGTAGCTCTAGACGAGGAGCAGAAGAAGGGATCTATGCTAAGTTGCGTTAGCCGTGGGAAGGGGAAGATTGTTATATGATAATGATTTAGGAGGTGGCGTCTGTCTTATCGAGACAGGTCTGGGAACTTTCAATTTTGAATTTTGTGGATTTTTGCTCACGCTATTGTGGTTTAAACTTATACTCAAAGGACTCTACATAGGCTAGTTCTGTTGAAAAGTCACTTGACATAATATAGATGTCTTAAGTGATGCGGAATTTGAAGCACCAGCAGCATTGTGTAAACCGGAGAATTCACGAGTCACTTTGAAATTGACCTCTTGGTCAAGAGAAATACAAACACACATTTTTTTCCCTATGTCAATCTAGTTCCTAATAGCAAAACAATACCAGAGAGTTATGATGCGCTGATAAGCATCCTCACTCTTGGTGAACCTTTTCCGTCTTTCCTACTTTCAGTATCGTCATTATCATAAGCTTTTTTTTCTTTTCTTTTCTTCTTTTAATAACCTCCTCGCAAGTGGCTTTTGGGTCGGTAGCTGTACTGGCTGACTAACCAGGACGCCCAATCTAGGAATTGGTGCAGAGACATGGTGTATCAATCCTAATAGATTTACCTGTTCGTTTCCTTTCCAAGTTTACTCTCCTGCTGGTACAGGGTTACCATTATCCATCAAGTTCATCCCGATGGCCTCAGTAGCTACTTCGCGGATGTTCTTCCGCTCTCGTTTGGCAAAATCAACGTGTACAGGCCAGTTTGATCTAACAAAGCCAATGCGACTTGCTAGGGCCTCAGGAGCATCGAGATCCTGATAGGTCGCGAACTGCTTGAAGATCTCAAGGTCTCGAGAACGCATCTGTAAACAGATCGTTCGCAGAGTGAATTCTGCCTTGAAATAACACTTACCTTGGTTATCGAGGGTTGTGAGCGCGAAGATCAATGTTGCAAGTGAGTCGTTCTCCTCTGACGAAGATGCCACTTCTTCTAGTGCGATAAAACCAAGCCTGACAAGAAACATGGAGAGCCAACAGTCGTGAGTCTCTGTCCCGTGACGCAAGTAATAAATGCGCAGCACGAGCTCTTGGTTCCTTCGAGCATTTACATATATCTCAGAGGGCGTCTGATCAAGTGTTTTCGTGAGATCGTCCCAGCCTGCATAGGGCTTGAAGAGATCCATCACAAGAGCCCAATATTGTATACTATAGCGGTTAGCAAGGAGTAAGATAAAGTTTAATTACATACTGTAGCTTGAGCTGAAAAGGTAAGACTATTCTCCCTGGTTGCATGTCATCAGGGAGACCATCGAACCAGGACCGCAATCGAGCATAGAACTCGACTGCCTGGCCGAGGTAAAGTGCTCGGACTTGTGCGGGACTAAACAAAACTCCGGCGATATCATTAAATATGGCCCAGAAATCCAAGTATGCCTTGAACGTTTGGTAATACTTGGTTGCGATGGGCTCTTGACTTGAGGGGTATCGGACCCAGATATCGCCATACCAGAATGGGCATTGGGCAGGATCCGGACAGGGTGTCTGAGGCGGATCCTTGATCCAAGGTAACTCTTGGATCATGAGGGAAATGACTCTGTTTTCAAAATTTAGCTTCTGATTCAAAGGGGGAACGTAGGAAGACCACCCTTGCCAAGCGAAAAGAGCCCAGGCTGTCACTTCACGGACAACCTTGCCATCTTGGTCCGCATTCTGTTTCATATTCTCACTAGGAGAGTCGTACAAACCCATGAGTTTTGCAATAGATACGGCCTCAAGTAAATATCGATAAGAGGCACCGCCGTCGACACCATGGTCGTTCAAGGTAACGTTCATCACGAGCATGGCCTGGACTGTTGTGACGTTTGGTCGTCTTGGCTCAAGGTCCAATAAACGCCGAGCCTCGGCCAGAAATGTATAGCCGAGAGTATGAGGATTCCAATGCTCGTTGCGGTGCGCAACCGTGGGGGTAGCGTGACAAGCATGAGCCAAGATAGCATTGACAAGTAGTTTGGAGCAGAAACGATGAGATCCAGAACTAAGACAGCGTAGGAAACATTCTTTGTGGAAGAAGGGGAACGCCGAATAAATGTGCAGGAAGTAAGTCTCCATGAGACTGTGTAGCAAAGGCTCATCGGTGCACACACTCGTCCAGCGAGAGATCGTAGCGTGATCTAGCAATGGCTCGACTAGCTTCGCAGAGTGGTAGGGCATGTACTTTGGAGCTTCCAGATACGAGATCAATCGTGCATCAAACGCTTGTGGAGCCTCCGAGTCAAAATATGGCGCCTCAAGGACCAAGGACTCCGTGTAGGCACTCTTCGTTTTGGCGAAGATACCAGGCAACGCAGCCCGGGATGGGAATGGATAGCGGACTTCAGATGCAGGGGCTAAGTGCAACTGCATCAGGAGATCGCCGCTCTCAATTGAGCTCAAGATAGCATCTAAGTCTAGCTTCGATCCTGTTCGAACCCGTCTGAAGATAGCGAGTCCTACATCCTCAGGCTTCTCGCGCATCATCAAAAGTACAGATTCAAGGCGGCCGTTGTCAATACTCAATTCGGCGCACTTGCGTTGCAGTGCCCGGTGGAGTATCAGCAAATCGGCTTTAGGATCGAACTGGCATTCCGAGTTGCGGCGCACACATGGTTCGCACGGCCACGGAACATTACACTTCACAAGTCAGCCGAGCTCTCACATCAACAGATGCAGGCGTACTTTTGACTTTCGCTTGCGACATTCATCACAAGCTGCAGACACCGGCCGGACTCGCTTCCGCAAGACGATCTCAGACGGGGTCACGACTGTCGTGGGCTCGGTCTCCACTGACTTAGCAGGGCCAGGTAAAATGGTAACCAGACTAGACATGGCGAAGTAGGTAGTTTTGAGTTAGATCGTCCGGAATATTGGGGCTCTATCCGAGGGTTAAACTGAGTCGACGTTATGCCACAGACGGTTAAAGCGGGGTGAGGTGAAGGCGAAGATATCTGGGAAACAGTAAGGCTGGGAAGACACGTTGCCCGTACGGAACTCGGCTTTATTATCAGCCGCAAGCCTCAAAAGCACAATGACATCATGACTTCATCTCGATGCTCATCTGCTCGCTTGATAGGTACGTATTGGTTAGATATGTAGTGCGTATAGGTTTATATAGTTGATCTCGTGCTGTTGGGAAGCGTATAAGTTGAACAGAATTAGACTATTACCATATTTAGGCCAAGTTGGGACTATCATTCAAAAGCAGAAGGTGATATCTTGGTAAACTATAGGAGAGCCGGGATTATTAATCTTGAAACAGTGAGCAGCAAGCAATCGAGCAAAACCTTACACCTAAACTCATAGAACGTACCAACCTAAACCGATTTCTTTTCAGCGTCCTCGTTGGCTTTTGCAATAGCCTCAGTGTTGTCCCCAATGTTTTCCTGTTGACCGTCTTTGCCCTCATCTTGAGGTACAGCGGCGTTTCCCTCTGTGGCACCATCCTTACTACCCTGGTCACCTTTATCCTCGACAGCCTGGTTCTCGTTCCCTTGAGTTGGTTTAACTTCTTCCTGAGCTTCACCATCCTTCTTTCCCCAGATTCTTACGCTGGGCATGGAAACATTGCCCAGCGATGACACGGAGCTAGGCACCTTGGGCATACTTGGCATGTTGGGCATGCTAGGAAGGTTGGGCATCTGCGGAATCTTGTTGGGCAGCCAACCCTTGGCATCGGCGCCGGTTTGCTGCGCCACGCCGAACAGATAGTTGAGGTAGGTTCGCTTCTCAACCGTGTCAGCGCCCTCGATATCTGCATCAGCCACGATGCCTTCACCCTTGTCATCGGGGAGGGGAACGAGGGAGGCAGCGTTGGCAATGTCCAGAGGCGATTCGTCTGGGAGTCCCGTGTCATTGTCGCTATCTTTGTCATTTGCGCCCTCAGCCTTTTCGTCTCCTTCAATTTGGCCAGGATCCTTCTCAAGGATCTCCTTGGTAGTCTCGGTCTCTTCTGTTTCTTCGGGAGATGTCTCGCGGAATTTCGGGTCATCAAAAACATTCTCTTCGCTCTGAAACCACTCTTTGATGAGCTCGGCAGACTTATCCGTCATTTCCTCGTAGCCTCGATGTTTCTCAGGCCTGAACATGTTGAGGTGCGCTTCAATCTCATCTTCAGCTTTGGGCATGACGCATCTTTCGAAGATTGGGTAAGCTGAGTGGCTCTCCTCAGGAACAGCACAGAATGTTCGCTCAGGGACAAAGTAACCTCCACTCCAGTAACCATTCTCACCAAGAGAACAGTAAAAGTCGTGCATCCCGACGCCCTTGAGCGAACCGATGCGTTCGAGTCGACGGTTCAGCTCTTTTTGTCGGAGGAGTGCTCCGACAAAGGTGACATGGTCTGAGAGCCAGGCAAAGGACTTTCCGACATTTCCGCGGTTGATATAAGCCAGACCTTGTCCGAGAGCATCCATTCCCTGACGGTAGCTTTCGACCACAGACTCTTTGTTTATGTTCTTCATGCTCTTCATCCCTTGAATGATGGCCTCTCGGTTCATGTAGGCTGCTACACCGCCAGCTGCAATGGCGCCTACTGTGCCAGTTTTGACAGCTACGAGCTGCCATGTCTTCCACTGAGGTCCTCGTGTACTAGTGGTGACAGCAGTTGTTGCAGCACGTCGAGCGCTGAGTCTTGCAAGACTGGCAGGTGCAGCTGCAGAGATGGCTGTCATGACATTGAAGACGCTGTTGACTTTTTGATAATTGGAGAAAGCGCCATAGACGAACATGGAGCGGGCCAGCCCATTGTACGGCGTGTCGAACGTGAGAATACCTTGGATGAGGGGAAATAAGGGATCATTCTCGTCTCCATTGTTAGCTCTGTCGTTGATGGCTAGGAACAGCGTATCTGCTGCAACGAAGCCTCTAGTAAATTGTTTAGCCGGTGCATAAGGGCGAGTTTGATCTGATCAACTTACCCCATCGAGTGAGCAACGAGAACAACTCCTACATCTTTGTCGTGAGGAGGCCATGGCTTTTCCGATTTTTTCTTTCGGATGGTCATCACCTGCTCCTTGAGCCTGTATCGAAGGTTAGCGGTCCAGGTGCGTTTGATTTATCTGGGTCGACCTACCACTCTAGAAAGCCCTCTGCGGCCTGAGCCAATTCACCAGTAGTTTCATACTTGGGATATACGATGGATTCAATCTTGTCCTCTGGGAGTTCTCTGGCGACTGCCTTTTTGAGGTCCTTTGACGGTGTCAGTTTAAGCTATGAGGGCGTGGGCCATCACTCACATAGGGAAATGCGTGAAAGGTATTATCGGTACCCTTTACAATGTCATTAGCTAATAGTAAAAGACATGCGACTATCGCACCTTGAACCCGTGGATGAAACAAAGCAATAGAGTACGCGGCATCTTTATGTAGGTAGGTAGGTTATGGATGATTCCGTCTCAGAAGCAGAAACCTTGGGGTTCGGAGTAATAATACAAATAAATAAATAAAGTTTACAGCACCTGCAACAAATAATGACGTTGTCGGTTGTAGGACAAAGATGATGGAGTTCCAGGTTTTCCAGCCACACTTGATCAAAGTGCAGTACGCGTGGCGAGTGTGTATGGTACAAAGGAGCCAATCCAATCCTGTTGTGACGAGATGAAAGGCGTTGACGTTTTGTTGGCGATAACGTCATTTTATGGCATCGTGCAGCACTAGCACCGGCCATTGGCCACGTTTTGGCTGCTAGCGCAATCAGAAGATCAAGATCAAGATCCAGATCAGCCCTGGAAGAAAAAGCTTGATTGTTTCAGATCCTTGCCTAGAACAAGTATAAAAAAGAATGATAAATTTTAGAGACGTTTTAACCTTGGAGGCCTGAATGCTGCAGCGCCATACTTGGCTTTGCCACCACTTGCAGTCTTGACCAATTCCTCCCACTCAATGTCCTCCTGATCATCAGCATGGATAAAAACACTCATATTCACTGCCTTCTTTAAATATTCCATCGTACTAGCGTAGAGCATGCGAAGCTATTCCCAGTCAGTAATTTGAGTCGAGTTAGCATGCGACAGCCCTACCTTGATAGGCGAGGCCTGTGGAACCCAAGATATAAAGATCGTCTTGGTCCTGTAACCTTTTGTCAGTAGATTTCAGTGCCAAACCCGAAGAGCCCACCTTTTCCCATCTTCCCCGAGGTCGTAATCAACATCGTAGAGTGCATAGCGCGGAGCCGATTTTCCAGACTTGTCAATTGCTGAAAGGAGCTTCTGGCGGAAAGTCTCATCCTCAGTATTAGGAGACGTCTCTTCAACGACAACACGCTGCTCATCGTCGGTGATCTTGAAGATGACGAACTTGACCTTACTCGATCCCTTTGCAAATCGAAGATCATTGGCTGCGGTGATGCAGTCTTGGTCAATCAAAACACTGTGTATCAAGATTAGTCGTAGATTGCCGAATGATACCAATGGCAGTACTTACCCAGAAGCAGACTTGACACGAGGAACAAGTCAGAATAAGATGAACCATCTGCAAGATCAAAAAGAACTTACCGCCATTTTGTAAGGTTTTCGAAATTGGTTGCCGATAGAAAAATAAAATAAGATAATCAAGAGAACTGGAGAGCTCTAAAGTCTGAAGTAAATTGAATTTCCAACAGCAAGCACATATCAGGGAAAAGCATATTCATTAAATAGTAAAAAGAACTTCTTATTCTCTAGACATCAGATCTTAGCACCTAGAAAGAACATTCATTGTCTGGGGACCTCTCTGCCTAGTCAGGCAAACAGATAATTTACTGCTCATAAGAGAGCGGATCCCATCCCGTTGCTATCACAGTAGCCTTGAGGGTAAGTACCGAGATGAGAGATTTGCCACGGCCGCGAATTTAAGGCAACAATATTATTCCAATGAAACAATCAAATATCTCAACAAATGTGGTTGCCTTGGAGAAGTCTCGCAGAATCATCTGCTGCCTGATTTTATGGAAATGATCCACCAGTTACGCGTTTCAAGATGGTGCATCTACTTTCTTTTAACCTTCAATCTCACCTAAGCAAGCTAAGTATCTACAAGATCACTCCCCAAAATCCATAGCAAACATGTCAGATGCAGGAGGCTGTCCGTTGATCCAATCAGCCAATATGTTGGTCATGTCATCAGTGAGAAAGTCCGCAAAGCCATCAGTCCCGGCCTGTTGTTCCGAAGGCTGGACAGCCATATCCGTCCAAGTCAAGGGGTCATTCTCAGACACACCGGCCACCTGCAGTGTATCATTATTCTGATCATACATGCCCACCGACGTGTTTCGTGATTCGACCATTCGACGGGCAAGTCGTGCGAAGGTAGAACAGATTTGATAGAGCTTCTCAGCTCCAATGTTGATATCTCGGGCGCTCCGGAACGTGGTGACTACTTGCTCGAGAAGCTCCACGTCTTCAAGACTAGAAGCTGCGATCGAGTGCAGGAATATGACGACAAAAGGTGTGAATGATGAGTTGTGAAGAGCCCTGCTAGTGTAAGCTGACAGGTCCGAACAGGCTAGGGCTGACTTACCAGTCGATATAGTCTGCTTTCGAGAGCATCTTGTCGCCACCGTAGCCTGAGAATGCGAGAAGATGACTCTTTAGAGAGAGCCTTGCTGCTTGAAAGCATTGGGATGTCATGTCGGTACCTACTCCTGGCATTGCTGGAGCTCGTAATAGAATGGTCAGAGTTGAGTAGTACATAATGTCCCAATGGGTCTTTGAAAGTTTAAGAATCTCCGCAAAGCGCACTGTACTTCCGTCCATCTACACATGTGTCAGTTGAATAACGAACGCAATTCAAAACATCTGAAAGGGAGCCTACATGGTCCAATTCGTATCGCCATTGGTGCATGTCAGTAACTAAAGCATCAATCCATTGTCTGCGATCTACAGCAGGGGATTGCAGTCCAGCAACAGAATAAAGTTTATCAAATATCAAACCCTGGATCTTGGCTAGCCTAACAGCCAGTCGAAACAGTTCAGTCCAGGGCTTCTCTGCAGGGTCGTCCGGTATAGCAGGATAGTGCACGTCTACTTCGAAGTCCTGGATCCTTGAGGCGTTGCCGAAATGGAGAGAGTTTGTCTTGTCAAAGACATAAAGCGTCCAGAAAAGCCGACGCTTGTTGTCAGCGAAGCCACTTTGGTCCTTTTGATAGGTTACCTCTCGATGGTAGCCCATCATCTGGCAGTGACTAAGGCCTGCGTTGACTAATGAACGAGCCAGGACAGGAGCGGCTTCGTTTTGGATCTTGAGAACCTACGATGGATCAATAAATTAATGCAAGGTATGACATGAGAAGCGATCTGCAATGACTAACCGCGGCTGTGATGGCCAGAATATTCTCGAAACTGGGAACTGTCAAAAGCTCAAAGGTTTGCAGACCTCGGTCAAAGTTTCGCTCAGCCTGCGCTTTGAGTTCTTCCAGGTTATACTCTTCACCAAGGCCATCCTTTGTGACGATGAACTCGCGGAGGAGTAATCGCATGATACCATTGACGCTTGTAATATGCCCAAGGGTTACTGGTTCAGTTGGGAAGTAGACCTTTTGACAGAGATGCTCAATTAGACGCACATCAGTGAGAGCTTGGCCAGGAAAGAATCTAGTTGGATTAGCTACATAGAGGGTCAGCTGTTGTATTAAAAGTCATTTCCCAGCGTGAGTAGGCTCCTACCTTTGATCTTGCGTAGAATAGTCAGGACAACCGAAGCTGGTAGAGGTGTAATTTCTGGCATGGATCGAGTCGAAGCAGCGAAAGGCAGCTTCTTATCATTATTGCTCTTAAAGATAGAGTTCAATTGATTAAATGACTCGCTGATTGTCTGTGCTGCTTCAGGACTCTCCGCAGCTGCAGAGCGTTGAACTTCCTGGCTAGCCTGGACAGATTGCTGAAGAAATGACGATGTTCCCTCGTACAATGCACCGCCAGGAGATGGGGCTACATCATAGACACTGGGCTCAGAAGAACCAGCTGGAGAAACAGAGAGTGCCTCTTTCGGGCGTGTGGGCGCAGATGTTGACGCAGGCGTGGATGTCAATGGATGTTCAGGTTGTTTGTCTAGACGTAGCTCAATCTTGGCCAGTCTAGCCTCAATCTTGGCCACATATTCTTCTCTTTTGGGAGCTGTAAGCAATTTAAATTAATATGGAGTGTAAGGGCTTACAATTGACCTATTCGGTTATCTGGCTTTGAACGTGCATCCGACTGAACAGAATGAGCTTGTTGGCAGGCTATACCTGCAGCTTTACAGTTTCCGCAGGGATGGGATCTGTCACAGCGAATCTAGAAGAGTCAGAAATAAAGAGGCTAGCTTGGTTACGCCAATCACCTTGCGGACTTTACATGCTTCACACTGTTGTATTGTCAGTGTCTCGGGCCATAATGTGATAAGAGGGCTTTGTCTGAGCAGTACGTACCGCCCGTGGGACCTGGGAGAGCCTAGCCCGCCTAGCCAGAATAGTCTCCTCTCCTGACATGACCCTGACGAACCAAGTTTCACCCACTCTGCGAAAATTAATGCAATGTAAGGTCAAGGGTTGCGTTGCGGGAGAACGGGCTCACGGAGAAGAGGGAATGCTGACACCTCGCTACCTCGGAGGCGCGGGCCCGTGGTCCCGAGCCCTACAAGATGCCCCTAATTCTGTTAGTGCAGATCATATCGATTGGCTGTCCGTGTCTCCTGCGGGTCCGACCAGACGAGTGAGCATACGGGGAATCTAGACGACAAAAAGGCTTAGGTAAAGTTTAGTATAGATCTAGCAAGTCTCTGATGAATTATTTTTCGCATCTTGTCTGAAGCTGTAGCGTATTCAGGGACGAGAATAAATGTCTTGGCAGCGAAATTATGGGAATGCAGTCAGCATGAGCCATTCTGAATGATCCGCTTGCGTACCCAAGTAAGAATGTGAGCTCAGACAGGTCTAAGGAAGAAGGAAATAAGTATCTGACCGTCATCCTCGTTTATTTTGTCATTAAACAATTTCAATTACTCAGACAGTTGTCTTCACTTCCTTCTCTTGAGCCTTCCTTTAGTCTTCTAGCCTTCGTTTCACCTTCTCTCCTTCCCTTTTACCACTTTCATAATAGACTCGGCACCACCTTCCAACATGGACGCCAACAACGAAAAGAAGATTCTTGTCGAAGACTCAACTACAAGAACACAAAACGATGAACCTGAGAAGCAGGCTGAGCTTGGAGATCTTTGGGTATGACTGGTCTATTATACTGCTACTGGAGTAGATGAACTCACAACTTACACATTGCAGCGCGTCTTTCGATTCGCCGACCGCCTCGACTGGATCCTCAACGTCACATCACTTATCTGTTCCATCGCTTCTGGAGCAACACTCCCCTTGATGACTATTGTTTTTGGGCAGTTCACCGGCCGGTTTAGCGACTATGCGAGTGGCAAGATCAGCCCCGAGGGCTTTCAGGCTGAAGTCAACACATTCGTCCTATGGTTTGTCTACCTCTTCGTCGGCAAATTTGTCCTCAGCTACCTGGCCACCTTAACTGTTACCGTTTCCGGAATCCGAACAACACGAGTACTTCGACAGCGTTTCCTGGAACATCTTCTTCGAACCGAGATCTGGTACTTTGATACGGCGAATGTTGGATCACCCGCGACCCAGATGACTACCAATGTTACTCGTATCAACCAGGGTATTGCTGAGAAACTGTCACTTCTTATCCAAGGACTTGCCATGTTTGTCTCATCCTTTGTCGTCGCGATAGCAGTTCAGTGGAAACTGGCATTGATCACTTTGACTGTCGTGCCGCTCTTCTTCTTCATCATTGGCGTTGGCATGACCCTCGATGCACCTATCGAAGCAAAGGTCCAGGGCAGTTACTCCCAGGCCAATGTCTTCGCTCAAGAGGTCATGGCGTCCATCCGAACTGTCCATGCCTTCTGGGCGCAGGGCAGAATGACTGTGCGATACGATGACTATCTCAAAGAGGCTCACGTTCATGGAAAGAAGAAGTCTTTCATGTACGGTGTCATGAGCTCATCAACTTACTTCTGCATGTATGCTGGAAATGCTTTGGCATTCTGGCAGGGGTTCCGCATGTATCAGAGTGGTGAGATCGACTCTGTTGGTACTGTATTCACGTAAGGGCCTCAAACTTCATTCACAACTTCATTCACAACTCACCATCAATAGTGTTGTACTATCTGTCTTACTTGCATCATCGACGATCGGTCTTCTTTATCCACAGGTCCCAGCCTTGGCCAACGGCGCTGCTGCAGCTTCAGAGCTCTTCAAGATCTTCGATAAACCATCTTCATTAGACCCTCTCAGCCACGAAGGCAAAGCTCCCGAGACTTGCCACGGACGCCTAGAGGTTGAGGATGTTTCCTTCTCATACCCCTCTCGACCAAACACAAACGTGCTCAACAACATCAGTCTGAACATCCCAGCTGGCAAAACGACTGCCATTGTTGGGGCCAGTGGCTCTGGAAAGAGTACCATAATAGGTTTGTTGGAGAGATGGTACCTACCAACCTCTGGACGCTTCCTCCTTGATGGCAT